CATAGCACTGAAACTTTTGTGTTTTGGCTAAAGGCTAATTCAGTACACATCAGGGTTAACAGACACAGTTAGTGTTGTGAAATATCAAAATTGTCCATTGGACTAAACCTATGAGAGTTAGGGGTATGTTTGTCTTTTCACAGGCTACATTACTCCGATTGAGTTGAAATTTTTTAGAAAACTATAAAACATCATTCTCTACAACTTTCATGTTTTATACTAAGTGTAATTCGGCCTCTAACATAATGAACTGGAACCAGGCAGAACTGAAGCTACAATTTCCAGAAATCTGGAATTTTGTTATATTCAAGCTATAATTCACATTTTTACCTTAAAACTACCACTACTTTCTCCTTTACAAGATCATATACCAAATATATACAGCATATAACACCTAACCCACAAGAAATTTAAGTGAATCAATCAAAACCCTAACTCAAAATTCATCACTCCAATCATCAAAACCATTTGAAACAAGCATCACAAGCACAATTCTAATATTAATACCCAACTTAATCATGATTCATGGAGAAAGAAAGGTTGATCAACCATTATACCTCAAGACAAGAGCTTGCAAGAAGAATCCTCCACTTCTTCTTGAAATTTTTTGGTTCCTCAAGCTTCCAAACTAGTGATTAATCGGTTTAGTTTTTCTTGTTTGCACTCAAAAGGTTGGATTCAAGGTTGAAAATTGAAAACTCTCTTCACTCTTTTCCTCTCCTTGCTCTCGGCCAAAACAGAAAAAAAATGGTGAAGAATGAACTCAAATGAAAGATAAGAAGGTAAGACATTGGCTTGGTCAAGGAACCATAGGTGGCCAACATTTGTCACCACCAAAACCAACTAAAATTTTGTTTTTTTTTCCTTGCATTTTGGGTCAAATATTTCGGCTATAAGGACTGAGGATGAGGGAGATATTTTGCAACAATATCAAGGATATGTGGTGGTAGGGAAGTGGTAGTCAAGTGGTGTGTTCAATCGGTAGTGAGCGATACCCGCCGGTTCGAGCCGGTTTTTCTTAAATCGCGTATACTAAGGTTTGAACTTAGAATTCACTAACTTATTATTATCACCTCTAATCCCACACTTAATATCATCTAAAACTCACTTTTAATCACCACATTTATCGCACTAGCGGGTCCCACATCGATAATGTGTTTCAAATTTAACGTACACTAACTCGTACTAGGAAAATGAATTTAAAACTGTACTTGCTTGTAAAATGCATAAAAATGTTAATATTTCCAAGGAAAGTATAAAATGTAGGCAAAGAAATAAAATAATGCTGAGAAAATATGAAAATTTTTGGTTCTCACAATACTAATTGACCATTTTGTACTTGTCTTCATGAAGGAAATCAGTTTTTCCTTGTGTTAATAAACACTACTTTTGAACCTTGAATTTTGAGCAAGTAAAACCCCATTCCATGGTATATTCTAGATTGTACGAGTGTACAATCCCTCTCTTGATAAGAAAGGATTTTCAAGTGATAGTGTGTAATAGATAACTATTATTTGCTCAGGTGCTCAAGGAGACCTTCACGAGAATCTCAAGAGGAACACCTAAGGGCTTGTTTACGCACTCACTCTCTTATTTCGATTGGTGAGTGTCAAGTGCATGAATTTGTTGCTAAGTGGTTAATTGTTTCTTATCCGTTATGTGAATTTGAAATTTTGTGACGAGTGTGTACTTTACCGCACTCGTTCTCTTTCAAATGAAATTATATTCGTATTTTGCTATGTGAATGCATATCCGACTTGTACATAGTAATGTGGATGTGATTCGTATTTGTGATTCGTATATGTGATTCGTATTTGTGATTCCTTTTGGAATCGTCGATTTGAGCTTTGCTCATCAACTTATATTCGTATTCGTATTTGTATTCGTATTCGGGGGACGCCAAACTCGTTGGTTAACTTTGCGATTCGAGCCAGTATGGGCTTGGTCGATAAGCTTAGCAAATCATGAGATATTCGTAGAGTATGATCTATTGGAGAGATCTTGCTCGGCATTACTCGCGCAGTATTGCCATGATATACTCGAGTATTATCAAAAATTTGATGAGCGGGCCCGGTAAGGGGGTGTAACGGTGACGGGATTCGAAGAAAAGTGGTGTATCTACGGATTTAATACTTATGTGGTTGACGGAGTGTCAACATGAGTTGTGATCAAGATTTTGACTCGACTACATGGAATTTAGCTCTGAGAGTTACAGTATCCTTGAATTGTTTCTGTTTATTTTTCCTATTCGAAATGTGAATCATTCGAACTTGATAGCTTTACTTACAATGTAATTGTTGTCACTACTTGATTATGTGTTTACATGTGTGTTTCTTGCCTCACTGAGTATTGCTGATTCCATTAGTTTGTTCTCCTTAACAGGAACCCGATTGGAAGAAGTTAAGCAAATGCCGACTTGAGGCACTTTTATATTAGTGTTTTAATTGTAATTGACTAGACACTTTTGGATGTTGTATATTTTGGGGAAAGTGATTGTAAATTTGAAATTGTGATGTAAGACTGGATATTTATGTATGGAAATGACTTCGTACCTTTATTCCGACTTTCATTGTTAGTATTAGATTAGGTTTGAATTGGATTTGTCTCGAGTCCTAACGAGAGTTGGGCAGGCGTCCCGCGGATACCCTTAGGTTCCTTGGGAGAAATGGGGGCGTCACAGGTAGTGTTTTTTTTTATATGATTATGCACTAATAACTATAATCACATATGAATCTTCAAATATAGGGTGCTAGAATTTGTATACTAATTTCTAAGCAAATAAAAGCATGGAGAGGAGAATTATCAATGACTGGATGGTAGGAAATCTGTAAGAAAATGAAGTTGCCATGTAAAAATGCATAAATAACATGAGCAATAAATGCAGATTGTAAGCATAAAAAGACAGGTAAAAAAGTGTGTATAAAAGACAAGTAAAAAACTATAAGCATGGCAATAAATACACTAGTATAACAAAGTTTCAATTGATGGAAATTAGATGAATAAATGCAGATTGTAAGCAAACCTTAGATGATAACTCACCAAAGAGAGGAAAACCAGTAAACAGGAGCAGTAGCTTCAAATGTGAGGCATAAATCAGAAAGAAGTGGTTTAATGAGCAACGGAAAAAATTTGGGACAAAATTCGTACAAAGTCAACGGGAAGAAATGTATTTGAAGGCTTAAACAACGAGTGATAATGAAGAAGGAAGAAAGTTAGTGGTTTAAAACGTTACCTTGGAAAGTGTCATTCGAGTAAAATGACTGGTAGGAAAAAAGTAACTTGAGATATTTAATCTGTCTAGAGAACATTTAAATGGCTACCTAATCTTGTAAAATATTGGTACAATTCAATTAATTTGAGAGGAGTTAACAAAGGAAATCTTATCGTAAATAGTTTTAGGGGAATTAACAAAGGAAATCGAACAAACAAATAGTAAGTGGAATTTTCTCCAGAGTGTGCTTAACTGTAGTCTAATGGTGCAGGATATTGGTAGAATACATATAATTGAATTGAAGATAGTATTTGTGACAGAAGTTAACAAAATAAAATAAGCCAATGGATAACAAAGGTGAAGTGGTATAAAATTAGTGTAATTTATTGGTAGAATGCAATTGAATTGAAACAAGTAGGGGTCACAATAGTTGGGAAAACAAAATTAGCCAAGAGAAATTAAGTGTAATATTGTTTTTGTATACAAATTGGAGTAAAAGTTAAAGAAGAGTCAACAAAAGGAAATTAATCAAAAAAATAGGAGCAACAAAGGGAAATTACCCAAAAAATAGTCAGTGTAATTTGATGAAGAGGGTATTTAATGGTGATATAATCCAGTAGGATACTGGTGGAAAATCAGTCAAAAGACAATAAGCATGATTTTCATATTGCACACTGCATTGTATTTTACGTACGTATATGAGATCCATTAACTTTTTCTTCATCACAAGCATTCTTCTGAAGCTTGTGTATGCTGTATCGTCTTTTTTTTTTGTTACACGGAAAGCTCCTTTATTTTTTTTTATCATAATCCGGCGGGCTACAATATCCATGTCCAATGAGACAGAGGCATAATGGAAATAATTGCTAGGGAATGAATGGCAAATGATAAGGAGATTGAAGCAAAGAAAGGCAGGGGAAAGAGTGGAAACAAATTGGAAAAAAAATTAACCAAAGCGGAGGACAAACAAGAACCCACATTTTTTATAAGAATCACAGAAAAACCAGTATAGTAGACGATGTGCTTACGCATCTTTCAACTCAACAAATGTTACGAATCTTTCATTTTTCCTGCGCTTTCACTTTTATTTTTCTTTTTAAACGCTCCTTTCAAATGCTTTAAACCTTAGTACTTCACCCCCATTATTCTAAAAACTTAAAAATTGAAGACTAAAATGCTATATAACTATATTTTATTCCGAGGACAAAAATCACTCCAAATAGAATTTAGCACTTCAAATTTTGTGCCACAAAAATATGGTAAAGCTAAAAAAAAAAGTAATTTTGTACTTAAAAGTTGATAAACTACCTATTAAATTTATTTTGTCGTTACTCTAGAAATAAATTATTTTAAAACTTACAAAAAATTCAATAAAAATTTGTTGTAATATATTTTGTTCTTGTCTAATCATATATCTTGTATTTAAAATCATGAGATTTTATATCTAAATTAATTATAATGCCCCGTTGTGTCAACCATCCATTTACTGAACCAACAATCCGTTGAACCATTTCTTTATCGAGTTCCTCTTTAGACCCAAATTTAGTACGTATGTGAGTGATTGAACTATATTATTTGAAAAAAAAAGATTTAAATTATATCATAAACACATTTTTGAACTATATTTTTATTTATTTATTTATTTATTTATTTTATCTCATATACATCCATCACAAAAAAGCTACAATATTATAATAAATAATTTTTTTCAAATAATGGGTAATTGGGTATCCAAGTTTTTAATATTAAGTTTAATATGAACTGCCACCCCTTTTTACAGCCAACCAAAACTAAGACAAGAAACACACTTTCGGTGTTTTTCTGAGTCAGCTGATTTTGTGCAAAACCAAATAAAAAAAACTTCGTCTGAAACTTGCTTATTTTTGTATGGAATGATTCTTTCTACACTTGTTCAGCTCTATTTAAACCATTACCCAAGTTTCTTTATCCTGTATCTTCTGTAAACCCTTTGACTATTAGTAGCTGTACAGTGGAAGAACCAAAGAAAAAGTCTCGTTGGGGTTTGGATTGGAGAAGACGGATTGATGGATTCTCAAGTATTGGTTGCTCTTGGACTCTCACTCATAGGTGGCTTAAGTACATCCATAGGTCAGCCATTGAAAAATTATTTACCTCTGCAAATTTTGGAAATGGGTTATGTAAGTTATGTATAATTGTTTCAGTTGAGGCAGCCTGGGGCTTGTGTGTTGTTGGATTTCATAATTCGAATTGAAATGTAGACTTACATGTTCAGTTGTTGATGAATGAAAATTTATTTACAATATCGGGAACTGTTTCCACAATTTGTTTGATTTCAAATTGCTTTTACATTTGTGTTATGCATCAAAAGTTAGAATATATGAAAAATTTTGTTTTTGTAGGTTTAATTATTAGTTTAGAATATGAGTTTCAATATTCGGGGGCATTGCTTTTCTGTATGGCAGAATCTAGGGAACATGATTAACTATTCATCTGCACTTCTGGGTAAGGATAGTGGTTGTTTCCGGGGCAGGGTATGATACAGGATATTCCTCTCGAAGAAGAAACTACTGCACATAAGAAAATGCTTAACATTACAGGCGAATGGCATCTGGTTATTTGCCGTGGAACCAAAATTCGGTTGTTTACGGATGTTCTCAAAAGGATTGTTTGCATAGGAATAGGCTTACAAATAAGACTGGTGAAAGAATGTTCGGCTGCTCATATAGGGGTATATGTTTCTGGTACAGAAGTCAATGAGCTGACTGATCTCTGTGTTATGCAACTTGCATAACCTCTTTCTTGGCATTGCATGCCTGATTTCCAAGGTTTGATTCATGTTGCTTCCTTTTTTCTTAGCTTGATTTGGCGTTGCATGCCATGGTCAATTAGTCATATTAATCTGCTTTCTGATCCTCTGATGTATTTCAACTTCACCATTATATTCACATTCAAATAGGTATATGGTGCTTCTGAGTTCGTCTTAAATGGACAGTTATCCTTCAGGGTGATTTGACTGTGTGATTCATGAATGACATAAATTACTTGTTAGATTTATTTTAAACTATATCAGATGCAAAGTTGCTTACCTGCCATTGATATTGCAAGAGGCATATTCATATATGCTGTGCAGTTTGACATGAGCACATAAATTTGTGTAGTTTTAAGATGTAAACTTGCTTTTAACTTTACAAAAATTGTGATGAGATTGCATATTAAGGATTTTGTACACCTCTTGGAAATTAGAGTTTGTTGGGTGGATTAATCCAACTCCAAATGAAAGTTAAGGGAGTGATATGAAGATTCCACATAGTTCACTAGGGATGTGCGGCAGGGCTGCAGCGGAATGGGTTTGACACTTATAAAATCTCAAGTTAAAGATCCTCAGAAACTATGAAGTCTATACTTCTTGACCCAGTACCTAATCAGACTGAGTATTTCCTTCTGAAATTTGTACACAAAATGATGTGGTTTCTCCTCATTGGGTTTTTTGGCTATAGAAACAAAGATTAAGTGTGTAATTATTATGGATGAAGGATTATTGATGGGCATAATCACCTCCCAGTCTAACAATATGGCATAATTATTCTAGGACAGGCCTAGGCTAAGCTTATTCTGATGTTTTTCTCCATTCTAATCATCTTGAGCCAGCTGCTAGTTTGCTTCTCATGCAAATCTTATTGGCAAAACAGCTTGTTTCTGGTACTCAAAGTTTTGTCAGCTATCTGCAATGCAAAATTTAAGTTACATTAAACAAAAGAAAATTGATATTTGGCTCCAAAAGAGTTGAAGAGAGGTATGATGAGTTTTGCTAGTGATTGTCAGCTGAACCTTTATACTTGCCATATTACTGGCTGCATTTGTCCCTTACATGCCAGAAACTTAACATTGTAGGGGGGGCCTTTCAGTGCCTTGGATTAGCTATCATTGTAGGATGAAGCAAGTATTAGATTACATTTGGAGGTTTTCCTGGAACATTGGTAATGTGATCTGATTCTTAAAAAATCAAATTATATATGTGAAGCAAATTTTGCATGTGAAAGACTCTGAGTTGACTATGTGACTTCCCTAGGCCTTAAAAGTAGTTTCTTCCCTACCTTCCAGATGATTGATGATAAGCCTTTTAATTTTTTCAGTCATACAAAAGTTAAAATTTTTGGCAAGATTATGTCTACTTGTCTGGTAATTTTTCTATTTTGTTCTGAACAGAGAAACTATGTCGTCAAATGCGGCTTCCCTTTGTCCCTCGTCAAGTGCGATTCCTGTAACTTGATTTTGTGGAATTAATAAAGGAGCAACATTGTAAATATGGTCCATGAGCTACTGGCTCAGGGAGTAATGATAATCATTGCTCAATGAAGTCTAACTAAAAATGCTTCTGTTATTTCCACAATCAATCATTTGAAATGCCTAAACTTTATACAGACATCTTTAGAATTCATGGATTTGAAGCCCACAATTTCCGTGAGACAATCTTGGCAAAAAAATACTTTTTTCATTTTTCTTTTTCTTCTTCTTTTAAATTTTGGTAAGTAGACAAAGCAAACTCTACCAAATTGTAGACTACATTTGGAAAAAAAATATTAGTTATCCTGAAAAAGATACTGTTTGGATTAAGTTTTCTCAAATAATATTTCACTTGCATCATAAACACATTTCCCAACCTTTTTATCTCACATACATAACATCACAAAAGTGCTACAGTAATTATTCCAAATGATATTTCAAATAATAGTCTATCCAAACACAAATATTTGATGGCAAATAGAGTGGTTTCCTACTGCCAATCCTGTGTTTTTATTCATTTAGATTTTGTTTCATCTACTTGATTGCACCCAGGCATTGCAGTCATTTTTTTGCTAGTGCTGTGAATGGGTATGATCTATCCATAGTACTGCAGTTCGTTTATTTGATTGTGATAGGAAATTGTCTTAAACATGCATTGCCTCTCTTTCTCTGGGATTGTGTGCTGTAGTTTATGTGTTTTGTGACTACAACTCTCTATAAACTCACTACAATTTATAATGTCATGTTCTTGTCATACTCTTGCCATGTGGTAATAGAATTCATGTGGGTTTAGGTATGCCCATTGGGACATTTGCAGGATGCTTTTAAGTTTGGCTACTCCTGGTGATTTAGGCATAAAGAACTGATGATTCTTGTGTTGAAATAAGAAAACAATAAATGCAAAAGACTGCATAAGAAGAACTCTGACAAGGGGGTCATCGTTGTTAAAGTATCTTGATTTTGCTGTTTTGTTTATTTCTGGAGCTCATCTTCATTCTTTTGAGGATAAACTTCTGTTTTTGGGTATCTCTTTGCTAAGCTCCTATTTAAAGCAACATTTTGAACTGTGATGATCTAGTCTTTATCAAATGGCAAGGACCTTAGTACTAACTAGTTTTCATTTTTTCCAATTTTGATTTCACTTGTTTTAGGAAAATTTTGTGATATATTCCTTGTGACCTTGTACTCTATTGCCTCAATGTCAAACTGTGCATTTTAATTTGCAGCAAGAGCTCAAACTGTATACTATTTTGAAGAGCAAACTAGGAACCATGATTATTTAAGTCTAAATGAGTGGAGACAACACAAAACCTCTAACCTTTCCGCTAAAATAAAGATTTATTTGAAATGGAAACTGGTACTACTTTTTTAGTATGACCAGTAGGATATCTATTTTGAAATTGAGAAGGTCTTTATTTTCTTGTCTTCCATTTTTACTGTAGTAAGAAGTGACAGCCTGGAGGTCTATTGGGGAAGTTACAATGAATAATCTGTAGCTTGATTTGTTAAAATTTCCTTTACTAAAACGCCTGATGTGGTTTGCTTCTGCAGCTGCCATCTTTGATATTGACTAGTGAGCAACTGAAGTGCTATTGTTGGTAGTCCATTGTTAATCTAACTATTTTCCGTTTACTGGACAGGTGCACTGTTTGTGGTTGTGAATCAGGCTCCAAATGTGAAGATGCTTGGGCTTTTACAGGTAATGATTAGCTGCTACTATTTTCTTAAGGAAAATTGGTTGTCATTTTGTCTCTCATGGTTATGATTCTCGGTTGAGCAATTCTTGTTAAACTTGCTGCATATGGATTCCTTGTATGATTGATTATAATACATTGGAAATGCACATTAACATACATAATGTTTTCAAATTCTTAATTTGTTACTTCTTTATTTTCTTTAGTTTTCCTGAGTCATTTATGAAATTAAAATGGCATACTTGTGATCTCTGTGCAGGGTTTTGCTGCAGGTCTTATGTTGAGCATATCATTCCTGGATTTGGCCCATAATGCTATGAACTCTATTGGTTTCTTAAGGGGAAACCTCTGGGTAAGCTATCACCTAATGATTGTCTTCTCTTTCCTTGTTTCACAAAAATTATTTAAGTTAATAATTGTTACCCCATTTGTTGCTCTTAGTTCTTTGCAGGTGTAATATTCTTTGCAATTGTTTCTGGTTTCATCCCAGAACCTACACTTGCTCCAAGTTCAGATGTGAAAAGCAGTAAGGTAAGGTATTCTCTCCTAAAGTTTTCTAGTGGCATTTTTCATTCTAAAGTTTTCTAGTGCAAACTGGTGTGTTTGGAAATTCATTTTAATACATAATATATTTTGCTTGCAAACAGAAAAATGGGGATGAAGGGGGCAAGGATATAATGAAAAAGCACCGACGCCAAGTCTTGTTTAGTGGCATTGTTACAGCAATAGGTCAGTCTGCTGTGTATTTTTGTTCACTTTGACTGAAGATTTCCTTAGCATATTTGTTTGCACGGCTTTCTGCGTGAATGCATTCAATTATGCCAGCTGGTTGCACCACAACTGTTTCCTTTGTTTGGCTTTTAGTGTGCGAGCTTACTGTTGACAGAAGACATGATTTGAATGAACTTATGATGGTCTGAAACATTTTTAAATACCATGAGTGCCTTTCAGGATTTGTTCACTCCCAAACTGTTGGAGAAGCATTTCTTAAGGAAAAATATTTTGCTATTTAGTGGCTCTTTTTGGTCACGGAGGCTGCTAATTCGTGTATTAATGATATCAATTTTGATAGCTTGGTTGTTTGATTGGACCTCAAATGATAAGGCCACACTGACAGAGAAATGGTTTTTCTCCCAAGAAAATTTGAATGTGCACAAAGGGTGGTTAGAAAATTCATTTCAGTATCACAATTGAAGCAATGCTGGATTTAGGTTGGCTTAGCAGTTAATTGGACAATTATGGACTTGCATCTCATAGCCAGGTGAGACTTAGTATCTTCTAAGTGTGTTTCTAACTATGGACATTATGAGACCAAGCATTCGTATATTAAATTGCAGTATAAGCAGTAAGGAGAACTGCACATTTAATTAGGTGGTCTACATACATGACAACATGATGAAGTATTGTGGAGGAATTTAGTCTCCGCCCCCCCCCCAAAAAACACAAAAGAAAAAAGCAAAACAACAAAGACAATGCTGGTAACAAGCTTCACTAACATATTGGAGGGGTGCAACCTGGGCATAATGTGGGTTTTGCATTGTCTCATTTTTTTTAAATTGAAAAAGAGGTTTGACTTTTATGTTTGTTGGAACACAGTTTAATTTTTGTAATCTCCGTCATGTAAATAAGGTACATTCTCATGTAAAGATGAAAGGCAAAGACAGGCAACTTGGTACTTGTACACTTTCTGTGAAAACAACCATGCACTATTCTCACTGTTTTATTTCAAGTCAACAATTGATGGGGTCAAAAGTTTCCTATTTATGCTAACTCCAACTACACTTTTAAGGGTACCCATGTGTTGTTTTATGTAGGTCTGCTAATCTACTATAAAGCAGTTGATTCTCTCTCTCTCTCTCTCACACAAAGATTGTATATACCACTCATGATTATCATCAGAACTTAAAAATCCTTGAAAGTATGATTTTACTTAATTGGGTGTATCATCTGAAGCTGAAAACCTAATTAGTGAAAACCTCAAGATGACATTGTGGTGTTTGGATGATTCTCCATCATTACCGAAAAACTTGTGTCTTCTTGTTGACCCCTCATTTAGTTGCATCTTATAGTTAAGTCAATGAAGCAGACAAACAACATTGCCCTTTTCTTGGATAAATATACATGAAGAGTTGTTCTTTTGTACCTCTAATCTTAAATGGTGAAGTATTCTACAGCATTTTCTTTTGTCATTGATCTATTGTGATTAAGTAGTACCAGTAGTTTGAGACTTCCATTCTTTGTGTCACTGTTAAAACAATAAGTTATCCTCTTGGAGGTTAGCCATGTATTCATAAATGTCTCAATTGGGAGTTGCAGTAATCCTTCACATCAAATCTCTCACTGAAAGTTCCTGGTTCTGGTATATCTGTTGGTTATAAATGGGAAGATTCAGTTTTATTTCTTTCTTTCTCTCTGTAAATAGGAATTAGCTTGCACAATTTTCCAGAGGGAATGGCAGTCTTTCTTGGATCAATCAAGGTACATTTGCTGCTGGATTATACGTTTTTTTTTTTAATGATTGACTTCTTTCCTGAAAGATCAGTTGATACATATCAATTTTGTTATCTTTTGTATGTTTTCTTAGGGTCTTCGAGTTGGTCTAAATCTGGCTCTTGCTATTGCATTGCACAATATTCCGGAGGTACTTACATGTGTTGCTCATGCTGATTCTTTACTTTGTTTGATACTAGATTTGCTTGAAAAGCAATCCATAGAATCTTCTGAACGTGTGTCACTAAAACAAGTTCATTTGGCGATTTATCTGTGATACTAATCTCCCACTAATGCTTTCTTTTATTGACTCTATTGATGATATTTCCCATGAGTAAGCGAGCTTATGTCTATAACGGACTATCATACGTATGCCAAACAATCTCTGCTTCAAAGAAAGGCTAATAGTGAAATTTGAAGCTTCTGTGGATAGTTCTCATGTCTCACTGCATTCAGGAAAATGATATGGAGCGAAGCTACTTCCTAAGCTACCTGTAAAAGTCATTGTCGATGCAGTAGATGTTTATCTTCAATGTAAATAGAACACAAACTGAGGAGCTACTCACTGATCCTAATGAAAGCTTATGATTGTACTGCCATTAGGATCCTTATTGATAAGGTTGATGATAGCTAACACCAGTCCACGCTGCTACTGATGCATGCTGAAGTGACACGGAGTTTTGTTGGTGCTTTTAGTAATAGAAATGTTTTTAATTTCCTAGTTGCAGTGATTCGATTTGATTTTTGATGTCATCAAAATATATTAATGTTTGTCTTCAAAACAAATCTTTCGTTGCCAGTTGGTGGATTTAGTGTCTGTCTTTCCATTTTCCAAGCTGCTTGTGTGATACAATAATGACGTGGCATATCATGCTGCCTGTTGGTTTTGCTTCTGCTGTTCTAATATCCATACTGCTTTTTAAACATACATGCTCTAGACTTCGAATGAAGTTATGTTAGTCTCTCAAATCTATCATGTTGTGTTGTTGTGGATGTGTTTGGTACACATTATCAACACACTTCGGACAGATATATCTGGTGAAAACAAATTCTAAATTAGGTGATGTCAACAAATGAATTTGCCAAATTTAAATTGAACTGGTACTTTAGCTTGAGCAACCTAAAGTCAGACAAAAGCCCATGAGTTTGGATTTGATATAGGAGTAGATGTAACAATATTTCTCACTTCCTTTTGTTGAAACTGATGGTATATCCTAATATGATGTCCTTAAAATGTCATTTCTGCTTTCCAAACTGAGGTTTTCAATTTTCATTTCCATTGGCAGAAATATGCTTTTAGTAGTGTGATTACCTGCATAGCCATGTTTCATTAGTAAAACACAACACTGTCTTAAAGTTGTCTCTTGGGCCCTGTACTATTTTCTCGGATGGTATCGTGTCTGATTGTCTATCACATGTTTTGCCTATAATATGTGAAATATTATACATCTGAGAGTTTAGAAGTTGATGTTTTCACCCTTAACCTTTGTATATTTTGCACTGAGGGCTTGTTTTTTTGTTTCTTGTTTTGTTTTGTTTTGTGTTAGAAGAGATTGGATTCCTCCACTTACAGGTTTTTTAACTTAGAATACTGCATGACATTGCCTAGGCTGCATACCTTCCCCATCACCCCTAATTTTGGAATTAGTTCCCTTTGATTATGCTTAACATGCGTTAAGACCTAACTTTGTAAATTATTGCAGCAGACCCTCAACCAAAAAACAAAAATGATTGCAATTGCATCACCGCAACCCAAAAGAGGTTGGCTATCGCATCCAAATAGAAAAATGATATGTTTTATAAGTTGAGTCCAAGTAGTTAGTTAGTAAAGGAAACAAAAGCTTACTAGTAATTAGGGAAAAAGCAAGCACATCACAAGGTGCTAGCAACCAGGAAAATATGGACATAAAGAATTGGGCTTGAAGGAAAGAGGAACACACCAAAGAAAGTGGAGAGAGAAGATAATGGCAAGAAATCCAAATATTTTCTATAAATTATGCTTGGAGTGATATAGAATTTTGTTTGTTTGGGCTTTAGTTTATGCTACTTCTCATGGCATCAGTTTGGGTTAGTTTCGGAATTCCCAACGAGTTGTAATCAAACAAATGGGTCCTTCTCATTGACGGTGGTACCTACTTATCATGGAAGGTGTTGTGCTTGTGCCAGCTGTTTGGCTGTTGGGCTGTTGTGCCCTATCAATGAGGTCTTGGCTTTGCCACTGCCCATGAAACTCATTTTTTTACTCCAAAGTGGACCTTTTTTTGTTTCAATTCTGCTGTGGCAGGAACATATCAAATTGGGTCAAACAATCCTTTATCTAATTCAGTTTTTTAGGGTAGTTTTCATTCCTTACCAGCAGATGCTTGTTAAGATGTAAATTATGATCTTCCATTTTTGGACCTGTAAGCAATTGAAAAAAGGGTTTCCTAAATTACTTGATTATATTGATTCTTTTGTGGTTCTGATGACTATATGAAAGTTACCATTGTTAAATAACTATCTAGTTTCCAGCAATTCTACTCAACCTCTAACTGCAGGAAATTACAGGTTTCGTCTCTTTCATACTGAACACTTGTTCAAAATTCTGCAATTTGTTGAAAGCCCCTACTCAATCCTTTAGAAGTCACTTGGTCACATAGTAGTTCTCTGGAAGATGGGGCAGGACCTTGTTTTGAAGATCCTAATAGGCCATACCCATTAAACCATCCATGATTCAGGATTTTTCTTGTAATCTGCCTTCATATGTTTTTAACAAACTGCAACATTAAAATTTCCATATTCTGAAATATGGTATTTGTGAAATTTGTTAGAGATGTTCATATTGTTATAATTTATGTAATGTGAATTTGTTCATTAGGTCACATAGACACAATTTCTTATTGCAGGCTAACAGTTTGTCTCAATATTAAAAGGATTTTACATTGGAGTTTTAGCTTGTGCTCTGAAGACAAATACTTAGGAATGACAAAATTTGGGTTTTGGATTCTAGCATGATAAATCATGGGCTGAACACTGGGGTTGCATGTTGTATCTGCCTATTCTGTAAGTGATGCAACCATGTAGTATTCTCAAGATTGATACAGTGATCCTATTACCCTATTAGCAAGAATTTTACCAGATCTTGGCAGTACTTGGTCATGGAAAGTATTAGTCTGTGCTCAAAATACTTGAATAGTACACAAAATTTAAAAGAACTAAAATTTGGAAAGATAAAACCCAAAAGAAAGAGTAAAGCTGCGTGAAAGAATATCATTAATGTTTCTTGGCACTGGACTCTCTGTCTCTCTCAAAAAATGAAAGAGGGAAAATATTGGGAAGGGTGGTATTGATGTATCTGTACTAACCTAAGAAAGCATAATTTTCTCACTTTAATCAAAGGATTCTGAATTCATTCTTTTCTATTTTTACAGGGTGTTGCAGTTGCACTTCCAGTTTATTTTGCAACACATAGGTAAGATGACTGAATGTGAACATTATGGTTTTATTTTAGAAATGGCAGATAAAAGAGATTGCTAGTTTCTCAAATGCATACTTCTATGTCATTAGTATAATCCTTGGAATTCTGTCATTTCTGTTTAAGTTGCATAGTTTTGTCTTAAATTCAGCAAATGGAAGGCATTCAAACTGGCTACTCTTTCTGGCTTCGCAGAGCCTCTTGGTGTAATTATTGTAGGTTGGTTCCGTTCTTGTTTGTGAATTGATTAATTTAATAATTTTCTCTTCTGAAGTAGCAGAGGAGTTAAGACATTAGAAGTTTCTTACCTTTTAGCTTAGTGCAGCTTACTTATTCCCTAGCAGCTTAAATCCTGAAGTTTTGGAGGGTCTTCTTGGATCAGGTTCTTATGCTGTTCCTGGAGTATTTTTAACTGGTTGAGGGATGACATGTGATTACCATCTAGCATCATTATTTTCTGTTAATTCTTGTTATTGCAGTAGGGGGAGTGATGGCCTTTCTTACCTTGCATGAGATGCTGCCTTTGGCATTTGACTATGCAGGGCAAAAGCAAGCTGTTAAAGCTGTGTTCTTTGGGATGGCGTTCATGTCTGCCAGGTAACAAAGTTTACTATTAAGACTAAAAGCATTCTGAAAGGATAGCTACTAGACCTTGTTTACTTATAATGTTCCTTTAGTTTTGCTCCTGTTTTGAAATTGTCAGAATTCTCGTGTGACAATTCAGTTATACTTGTCTAGACAATAGAGAAGAATCTTAACAAATTGTTAACAAGTCTAAAAAGGAACAAATAGTTAGACGGAAATACTGATTCTAAATGACTGGAAAAGAGATAATAAAGTTGCACAAGATTCAAGGATTTGCATGCCTTTATTTGTCTTAGCTTTTGATTTTGACATCCTCTTTCGGTATGTGTTCCTTGCATTAATAGAAGATATGATATAAATGTCTCCACCTCTCTTAGCTCTTGCTTTAGACACTAACTTCATGGAGCTATTTATTGCTTTGGTCCAAGCTCTGGTAATGCCTCTTGCTTAAATTAGATTGTAAAGTAATTGTCAAAAAATGAAACATGCAATTATGCAAAGTTCTCAAAACATGGTTTGCCTTTGTTCCATTTGTCCTATTATGATCCTCCGTTAGAAGGCATTTGAAGCTTTAAAGTGCCCAGAAACACTGTATGGCCAAAGCCTATGGGATTTCTATGGATGATTTCCCCTTGTGGCACTGTAGACATTAGGATGGCACTGTTAGCTTCTGGTTTGCGTGTCCCAAAATCTAAGTAACAAACATAAAAAGAGATAATAAGTCATGCATTGAAGAAATAAAAGACTTGCATATTGATAACATCTTCCAGAGATGGTTAACCAGAAATTACTGTAGAAAACTTTAATTCACTTATTTCTGGATTTTTTTAATCTTCTATGTATCCTGCTTATACATCATTTTGAAAGTCCCCTTCGGTATATTACATAGATCATCTTTTAATTCTTATATTGCAGCCTGTATTTTCTTGAGATCAGCTTGCCAAAAGACATGAGTTTGTAGCAGTTCATGTGTAAACTTTGTCAGCTCTTTCACAACACTTTCTATACTAAGTTGTTGGCAGAGGAGGCCCCTTTAACAGTATAATGACATAAACTGGATTATTGGGAATACGGCACACAATTGCTGAATTGCTGTTGCACATAATATGAAGTGTTTTGCGGAGAACGTTTGGACCGTAAGAGAGTAGCGGCACTGTAGGGAATTGTGCTTCATTGATCACTGTTTATTCGAATGCTTGTACAAGCGAGTACAATGCCCTGAAATAACTAGTGCATATCTCGATCAACTTTGCTCTGCTTATGAGAGCCTTAGATGTACGTTCAGGAGATTTACCTGGAATCAATTGTTCCCCATAATAGACATGGAACGGAAAGTGTATTTAGCCTCGTCTTATTTCTGCATTTTCCAGGTAGTTCGCATTGATTATTTTAGCTGATTTAGATTTCATTTTGAATCATTTGGGTTTTTTTTTTGGTTGGTGTTGTAATATGTGTTATCGGTTGCTTTTACATCTAGGTTCTAGATTTTTTAATGGCAAAAAAATGTTGAATGTAGAATTTATCTAATAATAGCTTTGATTAATTTTGAATGATTACTCTTTTGCTAATTCTGAAGCAATTGAGAACTACTGAACAATCCAAAGGACTGGATGAATTACCTCGACTAGTTTCTGCAATGCAATTAGGATGATAGAAATAAACGTGAATTGGGGATTAATATTAGGCCTAATTGTTCAATAAATTATATTGAAAGAAAAAATAAATCAGGAACTTAGGCGAGGAAATTATCATTGAAAATATTGACTAAAAAGTGCTAAACGGTTGCCTAGCTGCCAATGTGGTTGACATGTACCGTTCAGACCTATGATGGTAGGTTTTTTTCCCCTTATACTTGATTTGTATTTATATAAATTAGACTTTGCAAAGCATTTTGGGACAACTGCGCAACCGATAATCTGTGCCCCACGGATAAGCCACGAGGAAAGTCCAATTTTCATTAAACATCATAAATGAGTATTGATACGAGCCGTCGGTGTGACGAAACTTGTGAATAATAAGCCCCAGATTTTGGTGATTGACACAAGCTTAGCAGTGAAATTTCCTACGTAGATCCTTCTAATTCTTCTAGTTACGAATGTTGGTACAATCTTGATCCACAATTAAACGAATTAGTGAACCATAAGAATGGTAGTTGGTGCTACAATTAAGTATGATTTTTTGATTGATAAGATGGAATAAACACTTGAGAGATTTTCTAAAGTGTTCAAGGGTGCTCGCAAGAGCTAAGGCCTAAGAGAGCCTTAGCACTCGAAACTGTGAAGTTGGAATTTTTTGTGTGATGTTATTGATAGAAACAAGAGTTTTTATAAGTTTTGTAAAATGAAATCCTAACCACACTTGGAAAGCAATAACGCACGATTACCTAATATGGGCTCACAAATTCGGCCCTATCATATGTGGATCTAATCTTGCATAAAATGGTCCGTTTATTGCTTACTAACGATTAATAACACCACAAAAGCGCCATTAAAGTTGGTCAAGTCGGTTGGACAGCTCGGCCTTCGTGCCTCCAACTCTGGTTTGATTTGAACAGTAAAGTTGGTCAAGTCGGTTGGACAACTAGGCCTTCATGCCCCAATTCTGTTTTGATTTGAAGCAAGTTCACTAATGGTAAACTCTGTTCACTAGGCTCTTTAAACGCACTTGACATCCCAATCGAATCTTGAACAGCTCGAACCATTGCTTGAAGCGATTCCTTGAGATTCTTGGTACGAGATGTGTCATTGGGCCAACTGGAATGGTCACAGGATTGACTTCAGCTTCTCGAACCTCTTGGACAGCTTGCGCGGCTCCATCAAGTATGGTGGCAAATTTTGCCAAAGTATGACTTACACTATTGTCCTTCATATTAACAGAAAGGAATTAGCACTTACATAATGAATCCTTCAGCTTTCATACATCCCGTAGTATGCTAGATAGCAGAGTGATTGAACTATATTATTTGAAAAAAAAAAGATTTAAATTATATCATAAACACATTTTTGAACTATATTTTTATTTATTTATTTATTTATTTTATCTCATATACATCCATCACAAAAAAGCTACAATATTATAATAAATAATTTTTTTCAAATAATGGGTAATTGGGTATCCAAGTTTTTAATATTAAGTTTAATATGAACTGCCACCCCTTTTTACAGCCAACCAAAACTAAGACAAGAAACACACTTTCGGTGTTTTTCTGAGTCAGCTGATTTTGTGCAAAACCAAATAAAAAAAACTTCGTCTGAAACTTGCTTATTTTTGTATGGAATGATTCTTTCTACACTTGTTCAGCTCTATTTAAACCATTACCCAAGTTTCTTTATCCTGTATCTTCTGTAAACCCTTTGACTATTAGTAGCTGTACAGTGGAAGAACCAAAGAAAAAGTCTCGTTGGGGTTTGGATTGGAGAAGACGGATTGATGGATTCTCAAGTATTGGTTGCTCTTGGACTCTCACTCATAGGTGGCTTAAGTACATCCATAGGTCAGCCATTGAAAAATTATTTACCTCTGCAAATTTTGGAAATGGGTTATGTAAGTTATGTATAATTGTTTCAGTTGAGGCAGCCTGGGGCTTGTGTGTTGTTGGATTTCATAATTCGAATTGAAATGTAGACTTACATGTTCAGTTGTTGATGAATGAAAATTTATTTACAATATCGGGAACTGTTTCCACAATTTGTTTGATTTCAAATTGCTTTTACATTTGTGTTATGCATCAAAAGTTAGAATATATGAAAAATTTTGTTTTTGTAGGTTTAATTATTAGTTTAGAATATGAGTTTCAATATTCGGGGGCATTGCTTTTCTGTATGGCAGAATCTAGGGAACATGATTAACTATTCATCTGCACTTCTGGGTAAGGATAGTGGTTGTTTCCGGGGCAGGGTATGATACAGGATATTCCTCTCGAAGAAGAAACTACTGCACATAAGAAAATGCTTAACATTACAGGCGAATGGCATCTGGTTATTTGCCGTGGAACCAAAATTCGGTTGTTTACGGATGTTCTCAAAAGGATTGTTTGCATAGGAATAGGCTTACAAATAAGACTGGTGAAAGAATGTTCGGCTGCTCATATAGGGGTATATGTTTCTGGTACAGAAGTCAATGAGCTGACTGATCTCTGTGTTATGCAACTTGCATAACCTCTTTCTTGGCATTGCATGCCTGATTTCCAAGGTTTGATTCATGTTGCTTCCTTTTTTCTTAGCTTGATTTGGCGTTGCATGCCATGGTCAATTAGTCATATTAATCTGCTTTCTGATCCTCTGATGTATTTCAACTTCACCATTATATTCACATTCAAATAGGTATATGGTGCTTCTGAGTTCGTCTTAAATGGACAGTTATCCTTCAGGGTGATTTGACTGTGTGATTCATGAATGACATAAATTACTTGTTAGATTTATTTTAAACTATATCAGATGCAAAGTTGCTTACCTGCCATTGATATTGCAAGAGGCATATTCATATATGCTGTGCAGTTTGACATGAGCACATAAATTTGTGTAGTTTTAAGATGTAAACTTGCTTTTAACTTTACAAAAATTGTGATGAGATTGCATATTAAGGATTTTGTACACCTCTTGGAAATTAGAGTTTGTTGGGTGGATTAATCCAACTCCAAATGAAAGTTAAGGGAGTGATATGAAGATTCCACATAGTTCACTAGGGATGTGCGGCAGGGCTGCAGCGGAATGGGTTTGACACTTATAAAATCTCAAGTTAAAGATCCTCAGAAACTATGAAGTCTATACTTCTTGACCCAGTACCTAATCAGACTGAGTATTTCCTTCTGAAATTTGTACACAAAATGATGTGGTTTCTCCTCATTGGGTTTTTTGGCTATAGAAACAAAGATTAAGTGTGTAATTATTATGGATGAAGGATTATTGATGGGCATAATCACCTCCCAGTCTAACAATATGGCATAATTATTCTAGGACAGGCCTAGGCTAAGCTTATTCTGATGTTTTTCTCCATTCTAATCATCTTGAGCCAGCTGCTAGTTTGCTTCTCATGCAAATCTTATTGGCAAAACAGCTTGTTTCTGGTACTCAAAGTTTTGTCAGCTATCTGCAATGCAAAATTTAAGTTACATTAAACAAAAGAAAATTGATATTTGGCTCCAAAAGAGTTGAAGAGAGGTATGATGAGTTTTGCTAGTGATTGTCAGCTGAACCTTTATACTTGCCATATTACTGGCTGCATTTGTCCCTTACATGCCAGAAACTTAACATTGTAGGGGGGGCCTTTCAGTGCCTTGGATTAGCTATCATTGTAGGATGAAGCAAGTATTAGATTACATTTGGAGGTTTTCCTGGAACATTGGTAATGTGATCTGATTCTTAAAAAATCAAATTATATATGTGAAGCAAATTTTGCATGTGAAAGACTCTGAGTTGACTATGTGACTTCCCTAGGCCTTAAAAGTAGTTTCTTCCCTACCTTCCAGATGATTGATGATAAGCCTTTTAATTTTTTCAGTCATACAAAAGTTAAAATTTTTGGCAAGATTATGTCTACTTGTCTGGTAATTTTTCTATTTTGTTCTGAACAGAGAAACTATGTCGTCAAATGCGGCTTCCCTTTGTCCCTCGTCAAGTGCGATTCCTGTAACTTGATTTTGTGGAATTAATAAAGGAGCAACATTGTAAATATGGTCCATGAGCTACTGGCTCAGGGAGTAATGATAATCATTGCTCAATGAAGTCTAACTAAAAATGCTTCTGTTATTTCCACAATCAATCATTTGAAATGCCTAAACTTTATACAGACATCTTTAGAATTCATGGATTTGAAGCCCACAATTTCCGTGAGACAATCTTGGCAAAAAAATACTTTTTTCATTTTTCTTTTTCTTCTTCTTTTAAATTTTGGTAAGTAGACAAAGCAAACTCTACCAAATTGTAGACTACATTTGGAAAAAAAATATTAGTTATCCTGAAAAAGATACTGTTTGGATTAAGTTTTCTCAAATAATATTTCACTTGCATCATAAACACATTTCCCAACCTTTTTATCTCACATACATAACATCACAAAAGTGCTACAGTAATTATTCCAAATGATATTTCAAATAATAGTCTATCCAAACACAAATATTTGATGGCAAATAGAGTGGTTTCCTACTGCCAATCCTGTGTTTTTATTCATTTAGATTTTGTTTCATCTACTTGATTGCACCCAGGCATTGCAGTCATTTTTTTGCTAGTGCTGTGAATGGGTATGATCTATCCATAGTACTGCAGTTCGTTTATTTGATTGTGATAGGAAATTGTCTTAAACATGCATTGCCTCTCTTTCTCTGGGATTGTGTGCTGTAGTTTATGTGTTTTGTGACTACAACTCTCTATAAACTCACTACAATTTATAATGTCATGTTCTTGTCATACTCTTGCCATGT